GTCCAGGATTACAACTTTAGCCACGGGCTGTGGCGTCCCATGTCATTCGCGGTCCCAATAGCGTCCCTAGTTTTAGATTAGCTTCGGTAGTTACAAGCATTGTGAGCAAGAGAATGTATAACATACTTTGACAAAAGTATATTCTATATTCTCTGTCAAACCGCTTTGAATCATTTGAAATCCTAAAACGAACGCGCGGTCTTGCTTCGAGTGCTTTAAGTGCTCATAACCAGGTAATTCAAAAAAATCCAGTAGGGAACCATGAGTCAGCTTAACCTCTTGCATGTCGATAATGTACTTACAAAAAGGTTATACAGGCCAAAACACGGATTTTTTTTAGGGTACTTGAGTCAAGAGCACTTAAGGACGTTTATTACATATAGCGTTTTCTGTACGATCTTCCTGAAATTTCAACAGGATGCTCGTAATGCTGTGAGAAAGTCACATGTAAAATTTGAGATCGTTTCATAACACCGTTTTTTAAATACTGAATGTTAAAAAAACTTCAATTTAACAAGTAACCTCATAGAGGAGTCACATAAAAATGGAATTTATAAGAAAATGGTATGTAGAATTATTCCAATTTTTTTTGCATGACGCAATACCACAATACTGGTATTATTCTTAAATTTCAGAGATATCAAGTTACTTTTGCAATTAAATAAAAAAAAGGTGTCAGACACCTATATATAGGTATACAAATGCATTAAAAACAGTTGCAGGCGCTGCCGCATACTCGCTCCCCCATCACTGCACTCTCTAAATTTCCCCTGTAACTGTGATGAACGTTTTCAAAGCGCTCGGAGCGAGAACGCAAATTCGGGCTAGGGATCATAGTATTCCGAGCGCTACAATTGAACAAATTTCAAAATGGATGCCTTGAGAAATATGTGCCACTCAGGAGTTGTCTTCACGTAAGAGATAAATTGCAAAATAGCCATGTCAAGTAAACCACAACTTCAAATGTATTTAATAAGTTGATGACAACTTTTATTCACTTTAGTTAATTACAAAAGTAAACGTTCTATAGCAATTACAGCAGTCTACCGTACTTTTTTTTTTTTTTTTTTTTTTGATCGAATTAATATATGTTTGTTATCTGTTTACATGTAATTTGAATTTTTCAAGACATATTCGTAGAGCGCGCGGTGGCTCGGTCGGCTGGTTTGTGGGACGGCACGCGGGAGACTGCGGGTTCGTTTCCCGGTTAGTGCGACTCTCCCGAGCAAGTACCTCTATGAATTTTCACATGTGCTTTTTAACCACGCAATGCTCCTCGTTAAGTGATGGGCGATCTTCTCGCAGTAAAATGGACTACCACATAGATCCTTCGCTCTCGAGGTGGTTTATGTGACGTCATCAAGGTACCAACGAACTACAACTGTATCTAATAATGTGAAAATGTAACATGTCACCTTTACTTGTAATATGTAACAAATATAATGTAACAATGTGTAACGAATACAAAATACAAACCTAAGGGCTTAAAAATCAAATACACTACGTTAGTGGGTATTTATTCAGAGAGAAAAAAAAAAAAAAAAAAAAACGTAAGGATGAAATCATTCATCTCTAAAATAATTTTCAATATCATTAAACACTTATTTACTTTGTAATTATTGCTATTACTAAGATCATAATTTTTATTTTGCATTAGGAATTTGAAAGTTAAAATTAGGTCCACTGTTGCTGTCATCAAGTTTCATGATTTCCTCTATCAAGACGGTTTTTTCATGAAATGATTATGAACAAAGTAACATGAAACCTTGAGGAATCATTTAATAAGTTACAATACATTACTCCTCAAAATTTCAGAGTAGGCTGACGAATATAAATGCAAGAAAATCATAAATGAAAAGTAAGTTCTGAACATGTGCTCTTATGGCAACTAAGCATTCTTTTACTGAAAGTTGTAGCCCCTAGTTATTTATTTACTGACCATAATTAAGTAAAATACTGACACAATAAAGCTTATGTAATATTAAACATACTGTCATTTCGAAATACATGGACTTACTCAAAATATATTAAAAGAAACACAGACATGCATTTTCGTGTCCTATGTTGAAAGCATAGGCAAGCATTAACTGCTGGTATTTGGAGGTTAAGCGCAAATTTTACATAATCATTCCAACAAATTTTCATATCGGATATCATGATCAAAAATTTTGAATCTTAATTTGACTCAATAAACAATATGTACGAATAGTCGTTCGAAATTTAAGCAGAATTAATGAATATCAACTTGATAGTCGCATCTTTCACTTGGGAGTCATAAAAGAACCACCTTAAGTTGTACAGAATTTTATAAGAAGCTATGCAAAAGAAAAACTTTTTTCTACATTTTATCTTTTTACAATTGATATTTTTAAAAATTTTTTTAAACTGGATGGAAAAATGTCCACATGTCTATTTTTGTCACGCATGTATTTCTTCTTGTTTGGATTTCAATACTTTACAACTGATCTAAAATTCTTACTGGTGATCAGGCAGTGATAATACATATATTTAGATGTCTTAAGAAAAAGAAAATGATACGCTCATATCAGCAATGTTTGTACATTGACATATAGTTTTTCATTAACTTATAAAGATAAACTGTGACTTCATGCTCACATTATACTGTATTCTGTACTATTTCCAACTGTAGCATCACATCTTAAAGGGGTTTATGTGATACAGAATTATTTTGCAATGAATTTAACTAAAAGATTTAATTTACCTTATGCACTAGGAAAAAAGCACATCATATCTCAAAATAAAACAAGGGAAATAAATACATTATTTCAATGAATTCTCACTTTTTATAATGCTCCAGAGCACTAAAGATTGTTCATGTTGCCAAAAATAAAAATTAAAAACTGAATGTTCAACTCACTTTTAGGTTAGTTGGACATATTACGTCACAAATATATATTCAAGATATGTAATGTTTGTGCTTTTTGACTTGGTTACCTGAATTGTAATTCTCAAGTAATCTAGTGACTAGTTTTTGTAGATAACCATTTCTAGTTCTACAGAATAGTTTCTGTCAGTTACTTATATGACTATCTGTCGAGATCTCACTATCTGTTGTACGTATATACCATTACTGCTAGCTCTTTGAGAAATCATTTGATTTGCTTTAACAATCTTGTGTGCTAATAAACTAAATAATTAAAGCCCTTTAACTAATCGTCAAAACTTAATTAAACATTATGCCTGAAAATCTATCTAATATACTTTTCTGCAAAAAAACAAGTGTATTAAATAGATGACTAAATCCATCGAAAGAAAAAAATATCGAATTTTTTTCTAATAGATACTTGTACAGAAAAAAAAGGTCTTACATTATTAGACTTTTACTTATAAACTCGACTAAAACAAGATATTATTCACTTCAGTTTTGGGACACCTGTTAGTGACTTATTAGTGATCTTCGACAATAAATGCAGGACCTATTGAAATTTTTTAATCCAACGTATCATAATGTAAAAAATGTCTGGGTGCATAAAAAAATAAAATAAATTATTAAATACTACTCACAGTTCCTATGTCAGAGTACATGAACCTACATACTACAAGCAAACAAAAGGAGTACTAAAGCATTTAAATCTGATTTTTTTTTACTTGTATTACTTTCTGCTCAAGATAAATTTCTTTACTTTCATGAAAACTGGAGTATACTTTGCAACGTTTACGCACTTTCTCGCCAACGGAGACTCCTAGCGATAGACCACATGGGCCAACAAACGCACACGAGTAATAAACAACACATACACATTATATAATTTATGCAAATGCTTAAACATAGCCAAGTAATGAGTATTGATACATACTCATAGAATTGTAGGTAATTATGCCTAAACAAATTGTAAAGCGAAGCTCGAAAATCGTATAAGAGTTGACAAAAAACAAAGTTGTGTTTAAATAGACCTACCTATAGAGGTTAACCGCGGCAAGCTAGCGCGTTGTGATCACCTATATATACACACACAAGCCTCTCTTTTCCTTGTGTATTTCCGACTGAAAACGACTGCCAGGAAGGAAATCGCAAAAAAAAAAAACAGCACGAGAGGTGATAAACAATTCACAAGTACTTTGGCTGACAACACGTGTTGTGCAAACTGCAAGGGACCACAGAGGCAATCGGCAGCCTACGAGTCCCTTCATCGAGCTATAGCGAGCATCACACAGCAGCCATCTTAGCTGTACCTACTTCCCCATAATACGCGCAATATACCGTACCCTCGCGGATATGACGCACAACATTTTCTTTGGCCCTCAACAAACGATTATTCCAAGACGGAAAAAAAATGAATAAAAAAGAAAAATTCATTTACAATGACGTGCGCATGATAATTGACGTTGAAAACATAAAGACAGAGAGAGACAGAGAGAGAGAGAGAGTGAGGTAGAGAAGAAGAGTCTATGGATTCTTACGATGTGATGTTCGTGACAACCCGGAGGACGGTACTTATGAGTAAACGAAAAAATTTGATCTTAAAACGCAAGGAAAAAAAAAAGGCAGTCGGAAATTCGTGGAGAGCATACAGTATGGCGTGCAAAATGTGATTAAACTCGGGGAAATGAGCTGGAAGGGGAGGGAGGTGTACAGTAACATGAACTCGTCCAGAGAAAGCGCAGACGCTCCATGCGTGAGTAGATAAAATATATTAGGCATCGCTGAAAGCTAAAAACCGCAAGTAACCTCGGGTAGAAAAACGTACGAAAAACGTTAATCAAATTGGTCCTTGCTCCGTACGATTGAGTTGTTTACGCAACACACGATATATACGACGGCTAGCTAGCTAGAAAATCGATTGCCCAGAGAAGTATAGGAGAGGAGGAGGTGAGGTAAAGTCCCCAGCAGTCGTTTGTCGCGATTACACATACGATCGCAATAATTAATAACAACTTTATTGGCAACAGTTTAAATATTAGGAAAAAAACAAAAAAAAAAAAACAAGGCTCAATTATCAGGTATAAAAAAAATGTAGCTACGGACTGGATATACTTACACAAAATATGTCCTCGCTCGTTGCGGCTACAAAAACACACCGAGTATCTTGGGTTTATCGGCTAACTTGCACGATGTCAGTTGTCCTCGGCTCTGCCGAATACTTTATCAACTTGTTTTTTTTCCTTGACGGCGGTAAGAATACTTGGGTTGCAACCTTGAGTTTCCGAGCAGCAGTTTCTTTGTCGTCGCCGCGCGCACGTTAATCCTTCACTGCGTAGAGAGAGGCACACCACCACAGTACCCCACACACTGTAGACCCCCCTTTTCTTCTCACCCTCCCTACAGAAGAGCGTCTCTGTCCCCTCGCAGTGTCGACGAAAAACTTCACGACCCCGAGGCGAGCGAAACACCAGGTGCCTACAATTCGTGTGGATGGTGTACTTGATTTAGCGTCACACTGTGCTTGTATCTGCTTTCCGCTGTAATGTGCGCGACTGCAATGCGTAGGCGATGTGCTACTGTGCAGGACGTATATATAGAAGTCCAAGTTCTCCGATTGTCGGAGGTTGAGTGTCTTCGCGTTTCACCGTCCGGACGAGGGCGCTAGCTGTGCATTATAACCCAGCTGGTATGCTGGTAACGAATGTAACGATCGACTGAGCGTCGATACCAAGTGATATCGATATAAATCGATTCAAGTCGCTTTCGATTGTAATTAAACAAGCGGGAGATTTGAAATTAAAATTTTTCGAGTTCTGCAACACAGTGAGGCTGCTATTACATGGACCAAAAGAATATCCTAAAGTTGACGTAAGAGACGAGTAAGGATATTTCCTTCGTACATGTAACTGCAACCTAACCTCAGATCTTACACACTGGTATGGCATATACATCTTTTTTCAAATACACGAGCCTATAGGGGTATATATGAAATAACATAAGCTTCTCAACTATTTTTCAACTATGATAAGATACGCAATACCCAAGAGAGGTGTTTCAGTACTTCGAATCTGTAATATTCTTTCAAGATCTAAGTTTCAAGACTGCGAGATTCAAAATCATGAAATTATTTATAGCAATAAAGCCTTAAGGTAAAAAAATTCAGCAATAACCAATAACAACTGTTCAAGAATTAATATTCAGCCACGGCTATCATTATAACCCATGGGTAGGCCAAGCTTGAAAAAACAATAATCAAAGTCTAATTGCACAGTGTTTAATTGCGCGGAATCTGTTTCAATCACTTTCTTTGCTTTATTTCTTATTTTTAAAATTAAAAAATATTATTTTACCATTTTTAATATACTCATTTCATAAAAGATTTTTTTTTACCCTTGCTCTTAATTGGCTCGGGACTGAGGAAAAAAAAAGTTCGTTACAACTGATCCCTTGCAAGGACCGTGAATTCGGCCATTTTTTTCCCCGTTGGTAAGAACCTTAACGGTTAGCCCTGATCAGGATTGAAAAGCTTCCGGTGTACTGTCGATCATAAATTTTTCTTCAGTAAAAAACTTAAAATACATGCCCAGAGAGCTGCGTAAAAATTAAAAAAAAAATGGACATTAAAATGTAATCACCGAGTGGTGGTAAATGAAATAAATTAATCGTATACATGAGTGTTTTTTTTTAAATCTTTATTTATGGAGACAAAGGGAGCAATAAACCTTTGATGTAGTTTCTCAGTATTTATGAAATAACGCATGTTCTTAATTACTGTCACATTTTCATAGTATAATTATGTACTCGATAGTATTTGTGTGCACGTATGATTAATAATTCAAAGATAATTAACTTAATAATTGTGACACTCTTACAATTCACACGCGCGTACTTTCGTCCTTTTACTCGATCAAATTTTTTTTTTTTTTTTTTTTTTTTTTTTAATCTTCCAATCTCAACGCAATAATCGTCAACCAAGCACACACTCTGTAAAGCACATTACTATAATCTCTCACTCTTACATTAAAAATTGTCTGTTTTTTTTTGTATTATCTTCTTAATAATTCATTATTATTGTATAACTATTATTATAGTGTTATCAATAATTTTATTTGTTATTACGCTTCCTCTCCTTTCATATTTATACATGTATATATAACATTTCTCTAATAAATATACGTGATTATGGATTCTCGATCGAGACTCAACTTTATCCATCTAACTTCACGCACCATTCGTTTCACGATCTCAACAGCAGATCAACTTTTAGATACACTTGATCTGACATTTGAAAAAAAAAAAAATCCAAAGCGCAATTTATGGACGTGTATGCAATCTTATTATTATTAGGCATAAAAAGAAAAACATGAAAAATATCATCTTACGTCGTTAACATATTAATCAAAAAAGTAGATGATTTTTAACTTAGTATAATTCGCTGACGACAAAATTTTTTACGATTTATCTGTATGTATGTTTACATTTTCTGAAGTCAAAAATCTTAACTCTAGTCAAAGTAAACCGATATGATACAGTCAAAAAGTATTAAATTCACTGCCAATTTAAAGACTAATTAATAATGAAAAACGAGAATGTAATTACGCATAAGATTGCATGTAGTTTATTATTTATAATACATATTTTTTAGCGTGTAATCATGTATATACAACTTCCTATTCCATTAAGAATCATAAATTGACCCCTGCATCAGCATTGCAGACATTTTTTAATTAAGATGTTATATGTTTTAACTTAAAAATACATAAATCATGTGAGTACTCGTACGTATGTGTATATATAAAATATAAAGTTAATGTTGATTATAGCGGCAGCATAATAAATTTGTATCGTGTTCATCAGTTCCTACTGCTTCTGAATAATCACATTTTAATTAGCAATTCGTATTTTTGTCTAAGTCATCACAACAAACTATCGCCAGTGCCAAAAATAATATACAGCATGTAACGTCTTGAAAACTGGCACTGCAGAGTTTCCATTTTTTTTTTTTTCAACAGAAAAATCAATGACAATAGACTGATACGATTTAACAAAGTTGTTTGAGAAAGCAGTATCACGATTTATAAGTTTAATATCGTTTGAAAATTTCACATAGGATTTTCTGACAAAACACTATGAGTAAACTAACTTAGTACAATATTACCCTTGAAAAAAAAAGATGATACGTTCTTGTGAATAAATATTGTCTACTTTCTACAGCTTGATGTATATAAACAGAAAATAATAAGTCTTAATGTCGTACAGTATGGATTCTTCAGAGACCAAAAAAATTAAAGTACTGGCATGGAGAGTAAGAGAGATATTTGTATGATTGGAGTTCAAAATTTCTCTGACAAGTTACACTACATTCGTGCCTGTCAATAAAATTTTGGTAAATGAAACATGGCTAGTGTTTACTCTTTTCCTTATTTCTTACAAAAGCATCACATTATAAATTAAAGCAAAGACTACATAAGCAAGATTTTTACAACTCAAACGTTTCCGCATATACTTTCAATGTTTTGTTCTAACACCACAATATTCACGAGTCAGTTCAAATATTTTTAGAGATGCTTTACAATAACATGTTTTTAACTAAATTAATGAGTGGATTAGATAACTAAAAAAAATTACAACCACGTGTTGAATAAATCTAAACGTTATACATTAAAAAACTTATGTTCTTAAAAAAAAATAAGAAAACATGAATTACTCAATCAAAATTTACACAGACAAAACAGTCAAGTGGATGCTATACTGTATGGACAATCGGTAAATAGTGTTAATTTAACAATTCTTGTTTACTTTTAGAAACAGTGTTGCTTAGAGACTTTGATCAAAGAATATAGTTGATACCTTTCATTTTATATCATCGACTATGGAGCATGTTGTTATCTAACTTGTTTATTCTCTTTCTCTTTTTAATATAACAAAATTTTATTGTTAAGAGCTTTTTTTCTAGTCCACACGACTTACATACTTCATACGAAGACGAAAAGGAAAAACACGCTCTTTCAGCGTGAAACTCTCTCTGCAAAATGTGTGATGGTGATGGAGACCGCTGTTGCCGTTGATGAAATAGTGTATAAAGTCATATTATACTATTTCTGAAAAGTAAATTATAACAGAAAATACACCTAGCGCCGAGTGCGTTGATCATATGATCAAAATGTAAGGCAAGATAAACGTGTATTGAACATGCCGTGTTCCACATTGAAAGAGCGTATTTTTTGCACTTTGATGATATACATTCTAATATTTAAACTACATTATGAATTGTAGAGAAGGTACAAAAAGGTTGTTAGCAACCTCACGAACCTTGTTATACTAAAGCTCACAAAAGTTCAAGTATATGTGCACACACTCTCTTTCTCTTTCTCTCTCTGTGCCAATTTTTACTTTTAATTTGTTTTGTTTCAACTTTTTTCGTTCATCCCTATAAATCTCTTGATCCAGAAAATCGAAAACATCGAGTAAAATACAAGTGTTGATTACTTAGGTCTTTGCAGACTTTTTTAATTTGCAATTTTTTCTTTTTAATTTTTATAATTTTTAAAGTCATCGCGTGATTGCTTCATTTTTGGGGCACAAGTAAAAAAACCAACGGAATTTACAATGTATCTAGCGAATTAACTATATGTGTCACAAAGTGTCGTTTATTAAAAAAAAAAAAACTTTATTATAGCGATATACATGAGAAGTAAACAGCAATGACTTTACTATTTTATCTCAAGTTTTCTACAATATTTTACAATATCTCAAGTCAAGTGTCTTGCGTATTATGCTCGATAAAAAGCAAAGACTGATGGCAGACCAGTTTTCTTTTTATTTATTGATTGGCGATCAATTTTTCTTTTCTTTCTCAACAGTCGCTTTGAAATGTACTACACAATCTTTTCTAACGACCTTACCATTTAATTTATATGCACAATAAAGACTTTCTCTTCGTTTTAATTCTAGCAGTACATGGATGGCAATGATGCGCCAAATTTAACCCATACATGAATCAATAATAATTAAGAATATGAAATTTTGTTCAACTTGGAATTTAAGGAAAATCTAACGAAAACGCGATGAGTCCAGCGCACGTGTGATGTGTACATGTATCTTCATGATTATTTTATATTTATATGCATATCATGGACAAAGACTACATATTACATTTCTTTATGTTATCATCATCATCATCGTGTTGTTATTATTGTTACTGTAATTCAGTATTATAGTTCTAACTTGGAGATGTTGCAACTAAAGCTAGATACATATGTAACAATCAATAATCCACATGCTAAATCAATTCATTGATAGAATTGCTGGTAATTGTTTTAATACCACCAAAAGAAGGAGCTTTTAATTTGGAGAGGTGGTGTTTAAACAAGCCGTCACTCAATACATATCGTGATATTCAATTAATACACAAATATAGAACTGTCAAACCTTTTCTCATCATCACTATTATTCTCATATCTTGCAGTCACACTGTTTATCATTGTTTTGAAGTTCCTTTTCTCATTTGGCATTAAGAATACAGGTATGATTAATCACTCAAGGTCTTTTTGAAAAGAGAATCACTTTGTTGATCTTTACGTGTATGAATGTTTTTATTCGTCAGTTAGCCAGCCATCATTGTGTCTCGCCGTTCTCAGTATATTTATATGTACATTGATTTAAATATATATAAATATATCTGCATAATACACCGAGTCCATACTTTAATGGTCAATTTTTTTTTTCGTGATCTTTCATTATTATTGTATAACTATTATTATAGTGTTATCAATAATTTTATTTGTTATTACGCTTCCTCTCCTTTCATATTTATACATGTATATATAACATTTCTCTAATAAATATACGTGATTATGGATTCTCGATCGAGACTCAACTTTATCCATCTAACTTCACGCACCATTCGTTTCACGATCTCAACAGCAGATCAACTTTTAGATACACTTGATCTGACATTTGAAAAAAAAAAAAAATCCAAAGCGCAATTTATGGACGTGTATGCAATCTTATTATTATTAGGCATAAAAAGAAAAACATGAAAAATATCATCTTACGTCGTTAACATATTAATCAAAAAAGTAGATGATTTTTAACTTAGTATAATTCGCTGACGACAAAATTTTTTACGATTTATCTGTATGTATGTTTACATTTTCTGAAGTCAAAAATCTTAACTCTAGTCAAAGTAAACCGATATGATACAGTCAAAAAGTATTAAATTCACTGCCAATTTAAAGACTAATTAATAATGAAAAACGAGAATGTAATTACGCATAAGATTGCATGTAGTTTATTATTTATAATACATATTTTTTAGCGTGTAATCATGTATATACAACTTCCTATTCCATTAAGAATCATAAATTGACCCCTGCATCAGCATTGCAGACATTTTTTAATTAAGATGTTATATGTTTTAACTTAAAAATACATAAATCATGTGAGTACTCGTACGTATGTGTATATATAAAATATAAAGTTAATGTTGATTATAGCGGCAGCATAATAAATTTGTATCGTGTTCATCAGTTCCTACTGCTTCTGAATAATCACATTTTAATTAGCAATTCGTATTTTTGTCTAAGTCATCACAACAAACTATCGCCAGTGCCAAAAATAATATACAGCATGTAACGTCTTGAAAACTGGCACTGCAGAGTTTCCATTTTTTTTTTTTTCAACAGAAAAATCAATGACAATAGACTGATACGATTTAACAAAGTTGTTTGAGAAAGCAGTATCACGATTTATAAGTTTAATATCGTTTGAAAATTTCACATAGGATTTTCTGACAAAACACTATGAGTAAACTAACTTAGTACAATATTACCCTTGAAAAAAAAAGATGATACGTTCTTGTGAATAAATATTGTCTACTTTCTACAGCTTGATGTATATAAACAGAAAATAATAAGTCTTAATGTCGTACAGTATGGATTCTTCAGAGACCAAAAAAATTAAAGTACTGGCATGGAGAGTAAGAGAGATATTTGTATGATTGGAGTTCAAAATTTCTCTGACAAGTTACACTACATTCGTGCCTGTCAATAAAATTTTGGTAAATGAAACATGGCTAGTGTTTACTCTTTTCCTTATTTCTTACAAAAGCATCACATTATAAATTAAAGCAAAGACTACATAAGCAAGATTTTTACAACTCAAACGTTTCCGCATATACTTTCAATGTTTTGTTCTAACACCACAATATTCACGAGTCAGTTCAAATATTTTTAGAGATGCTTTACAATAACATGTTTTTAACTAAATTAATGAGTGGATTAGATAACTAAAAAAAATTACAACCACGTGTTGAATAAATCTAAACGTTATACATTAAAAAACTTATGTTCTTAAAAAAAAATAAGAAAACATAAATTACTCAATCAAAATTTACACAGACAAAACAGTCAAGTGGATGCTATACTGTATGGACAATCGGTAAATAGTGTTAATTTAACAATTCTTGTTTACTTTTAGAAACAGTGTTGCTTAGAGACTTTGATCAAAGAATATAGTTGATACCTTTCATTTTATATCATCGACTATGGAGCATGTTGTTATCTAACTTGTTTATTCTCTTTCTCTTTTTAATATAACAAAATTTTATTGTTAAGAGCTTTTTTTCTAGTCCACACGACTTACATACTTCATACGAAGACGAAAAGGAAAAACACGCTCTTTCAGCGTGAAACTCTCTCTGCAAAATGTGTGATGGTGATGGAGACCGCTGTTGCCGTTGATGAAATAGTGTATAAAGTCATATTATACTATTTCTGAAAAGTAAATTATAACAGAAAATACACCTAGCGCCGAGTGCGTTGATCATATGATCAAAATGTAAGGCAAGATAAACGTGTATTGAACATGCCGTGTTCCACATTGAAAGAGCGTATTTTTTGCACTTTGATGATATACATTCTAATATTTAAACTACATTATGAATTGTAGAGAAGGTACAAAAAGGTTGTTAGCAACCTCACGAACCTTGTTATACTAAAGCTCACAAAAGTTCAAGTATATGTGCACACACTCTCTTTCTCTTTCTCTCTCTGTGCCAATTTTTACTTTTAATTTGTTTTGTTTCAACTTTTTTCGTTCATCCCTATAAATCTCTTGATCCAGAAAATCGAAAACATCGAGTAAAATACAAGTGTTGATTACTTAGGTCTTTGCAGACTTTTTTAATTTGCAATTTTTTCTTTTTAATTTTANGTCAGTTAGCCAGCCATCATTGTGTCTCGCCGTTCTCAGTATATTTATATGTACATTGATTTAAATATATATAAATATATCTGCATAATACACCGAGTCCATACTTTAATGGTCAATTTTTTTTTTCGTGATCTTTCACTCATTTTTTTTCTTTTCTTTTCTTTTATTTTATTTTGCATTACAAACTTCATGGTTCTCAAAAAAAAAAACTTTTTTTTATCGTTCGATGTTGTGTTTTTTCTCACTTATTTGCTTGACTGCCTTTATTTTTTTTTTCTTTTACTATACTTACGATGGACGCGCGCTCGGTTTATTCTCTCTCAGATTTGATGCTACCACGATACAGAAGATTTATTACTTATTAACGCGTTCCTGAAACAAACATAGAAAAAATAGTATTGTCATTGGAAACCTTCTTAACTTTGATTAATTTAATTAAAAGAGAAAATCATTACATCTCAAACAGAACTGAATGAAAAAGCAGGCCGTAAAATAATAATTGAGCGTTTCAAGTAGAATTGAAAAAAAAAAAAAAAAAAATTGCTCGAAAAATCTAAGACCCTCATTCTAAAAGCTTTTGTATTCATTGCTTGTAAAAATAAATAGTTTTTCAAACGATAAATGCAATAATGGTTAAAATGCGGATGTTACGAAAAGAAACATTGAACCACTTAATAATACTATTGAATGTGTTGAAAGAATTTAAAACTGTAAATTGACACACATACGATAACATGACATTTTATTAGTTTTAATTCACAAGTATAGTAAATATAACAGTCTGGAAAAACCTTAAGCTTAAAATGAAAAATCACGTTACTTTAGCACTATTTTTTTTTTTGTTACAAAAAAATAAATTGATAGTTCAGTTTTAGATTTTCTTGGAACTTTGAAATTTACATTACTTTTAATTATTGTCACCAAGTGAATTACTATTTTTTTCTAAGTTTGTTTAGTTTCAATGCGATGAGGTATATTTTACTTCAATGGTTAAACTTAGATTATTCAGGCAGATTTTTATAGTAAAGTTAAAGTTTGAATAAAGAACAAAGTAACTTTTTCCATCAGTTCTGAGCATTTACAAGATTTTTTTTTGAGGTTAAAAAAAAGAGTTGATATAGGTAAGCATGATTTTATTTCTATACATGTTGCATTATTTATATCAATAGTTCATGCTAAAGATCAGAAATGAACTTCTATTTGATAATGACATTTTGAGTAAATTTATATTATGATAAATTATAGTATTAAAATCTAGTCAAAAAGAAACATGCGATAANTGGCATGATGAAAAAGCAAAACTTTATTACATTTTTAACCAGAAAAATTATTTTAATTATCATTTAAAATATTCTAATCATTTCAGATATCTAACTATTTAAGACTACATTTCTTGTCGTAAGTGGTGGCTTGCAGAAAATTCTAACCTCAAAAAATGCTGGAACTATCGCGGTCTATAACCATATGCCTTGAAAGACAGGATATATGTATGTGTACGTCTTATGAGGCCACTACACTATAATATAAAAAAAGATATAAGTTTCATATTTCCTTAGTAAATTAACAAAAATTTATCTTCAATTTTATTTCAATATTAAAAAGTCATTCGCGCTCTTCAATAAATATATTAATGTATCGGTTCGTCTTGCAACCAAAAGAGCAATGTTAAAGGAAAACAGTTTATGACAGTGCTAAGCTTTTTTTTCACTAGTTTCATTAGTTTTATCCGCCGGAAACAGGTCCATCCACGAATTTATCCTTGTTTGATTGAGCAGTAAAACTTTAATAGAAAAATCAAAAGATTTATGTGTAAAAAAAAAAATGATCAAAACAGTGCTGGTACAAAATTATTCATGTAAGAATTTTAAAATAAATTTTTTTGTTTCTCGGTGCAATCATTTTGCAACAGTTCTTCAAGTCAATATTCAATTTTGGTCCAGCACTGAATCATGAGAATGAAGAGTAAAATTACTGTCACAGAACAAAAAACGCACATGAACTAAAAACATTTTAAAGCCATTTGAAAATGTTTGGACAATTGACAATAAAAAGCCAAGCCAATAAGTAAATACTAAGTTGAATGTTAAATTTGTCATGAGCATGCATAAAAAATTTCAGGTATAAAGTTGATTAACATTGTGGATTACTATACAATTGACTTTAAAAGAAAAAAATAATTTTCAAAATTTCTATTGAACAATAAATGTTATGATATACATTAGATTTATTTCTAATGTATGTTTAAACACAATATAGGTTTTTTTAAAAATATTTTACAGCCATTTTTAGAGAACTATGCCCTATAGGCTCTGCAATGCTGTGTTACTATGCATTTACATGCTATCGTCATTGGCATAGTAAAAAACCGCCTCAGATTTAATTGTGACATAAATCACTTACACAGCAAAGGGGACCTTATTTTACATGGCTTCCGAACCATATGGCCACAGTTGGTAATGTGCACTTAAGAAATAAGTTTCTCAGAGGTGCGAGCCAAGTGAGTGAAGGCCGAGTCTCAAACTCGTGAGCATGTGTTACCAAGCCCCCGAGCTACAAGAACTACAGCCTTTACCACTGTGCTACATAGAGATATTATAAGATAGAGTACGGAAACCGGACTGTGCAGTGTCTGCTGGAGTAGAGAGAGAGAAAAGATTTCAGTACCTGTGCATCTCTCTCTGCCCTCTTCGCTGATTGGTTCCTTGGAAGGGGAAGTCCCCACCATGGTCTTCAACTTAAGCTCCGCCCACTCTGCACAGTTTAAGTACAAGAATCTGCTATCATAGATACTTTCATCAATGGCCGAGTTAGCCAAATATTTTGCTCTTTAGCGCATCGTTAAGGAGGTTCGGTAGTGATAATTTTTTATGATGAAAATTTTTGAAATTTCGATATGTTGTTTGGAATAATAGTATCAAATTACAGCTAAATTTTTGAAGGGTTTAACCACACCGTTTTCAAGATATATTGACCTGAAAAAACAATATTTTAACATGTAGGCTTATGGAGAAATCACTTAAATTTCACATAAAAAAAAAACGGCTAAATGAACTTGCTTTTTTTTTTTTTAANCCAGATTAATTTAATAAATTAAAATGTGCTGAATCCGATGGTATAATAATTTATATCGCTTACCCTGAAAAATTTCAAGTATTTCCTAATTTATGTAGCACTTTCTAACACGTATTATTATAGCACAGCTCGCAGACGCGATGAAAGTAACCTAATAACTCGAATAAACCAACAGTTCCCGTAATAGCAGTGCACACGTTTTGTAGAAAAAACCCCTTCTTTGAAATGACGCCTATCAAAGGAAGTGTTACCCTGGAAAATTTCGAGATATTCTTTTGAAAATTTATCGAGTCATTTTATTTCCACAGGTGTGCCCATATTCTCTTGCGCCAGTGATGCCAACTATACCTGAGTTTGCGAGCAAATTTGTGACCTACGACCTATGACGTGGGTTGGCATCTCTTAACAAGAGAGCCTTTTTAAGGAGGCTTTCTTCCCCTAGTGTCGCCAAATGAGATATATGTCATTAAATAGTTTAGATCATGCCGAATCTAACGGTGCCATTATTTATATCCTTCATCGAACAAAATCTAGAGAAATTAACGCCAGAAGTTAGCTTTTTTGATAATAGCGGTTATGGCAGACATAGTAAAAATAACGATTTGCAACCTCAACCGAAAGTGTCGGGTATTGCGAGTATACCCCAGGGAGAAATAAAATATGGAGCATAAATTCGATTTTGAAGTATTAATTTTTTATTTTCTCACTTGTTAGTAATCTTCTGCTGTACGATATGGAATAGCTCGCATGATTTATCAAGAATAGTCATAAAGTACACTAATTTTTAATTTGAATTAACTTTTGAGACTGTACCGCTCTAACCCCCTCAAGTGTCTTCGATTCCTGGATGCTTTAATTTTTTTTTTTCTTC